AAGATTTGGGCAAAGGACCTTCATTGAGATGGTATTTAACTAAAAAAATAACATAATTAAATTTGTCATTTGTTTCACCTGATTGATACAAACATATAAATGAAAGCTTTGTGAAAATCCTTTATATAATTGTTACATGATTAGGAACTAATCTCCCGGATAAATCCTTATTAACTAGATACTAAATCTACTTTTAATATAGTCTGACTTCCATACTCTGATAATTACCTTTATGTAAAATAGTATCACTGAACTATGGCAATAATTTAATATTAGAACTAATTACCTCTTGTACCAAGATCACCAAACACTTTTGTAAATACTACTGTAAGGAAAACAATTTAAATAGTAAATACAAAATATGTAGAGACTATATACCTACTAAGGAATCAAGTAAATGGAACTTTAGACAAATTATATTGTAATACAAAGTTAAATTTTAAATATTTTCATTGTTTTGAGTATATAATGACATCCTAAAGGGAAATGATATAACTGAAGATTGTTTGAAAGGTCTTGAATTTGTTATTAAGAACAAATTCTTGGGGAGCTATGTAGAATTCTGTAATGATATTGAAATTGCCAATAAAAGGTACTTCAATTAATAGAAGTGTATCATGTTTTCTTTCAACAAATATTTATCCCTTTTTTATTACATAAATACTTCAATAGTAAATTTAAACAAAACATAAAGAAGTATGGCAAACTTACTTTACTGTGATTGGTGATATGAAATAATATGTGACTGGCATGAAAGCACATACCAAAATGAATGGAACATAATTTACTGGTCAATAGAAAAATTTGAGGAATGGCAGTCCTAAAATGGGTGAAAGAAAATAGTAATATAGAATACTATAAGAATAATTTGTCTTTTATTTTGGAGGCAACTGAAACCAAAAGAATCTTGTATCTATAGATACAACATAAAAAGGCAAAGTTTTCAATATATCAATTTTAGGAAGATTAATAAGAAAGGGGAGAAGTCTCATCACAGGGGGATAAAAAAAGCTTAAGTCAGAGTTGGCAGAGTTATTAGAAACTGAGTGAAGATATAACACTTTCCTAATAATATAATAGTAATAAATATGGAACAAATCAAAAGACATAAATTGAAAAAACTGTAGAAAATCATGTTTTAAATAAGAAACACTTTTGTATGCTTTTGTAGAAGCTCTAGATATCAACCATCTCTACTTCTACTCCAGTTCCATCTCAATGGTCTCTACTACCTCTAACTCCGCTGCCATCACTTTCACAGCTACTATCCTCAGCATTTCCACTAACTTCACCATGATCAAATGATCAGCAGAACACCCATGGAATACTAATTTCCATAGAAACTCCATATGCAATGCTTCTTATTTGATCCTCATGGTTGTACATAAAGTGATAAGAATGAACCCAAGGAATGGCCTTATGTAACTTACCTGAAATTATAAGCTACTAACTGAAAAAGGCAAGTTTCAAACATGAGTAATTTTGATTCCAAACACCATGATTTTTCTATTATCTGTTACTCTTTGACACATCAATAAAAATAATTATATGGATCATAGCTTTATAATTAATTACAAAGGTGAAATTTTAAGGGGAGATTCAAATAGTGAACTCCATGATTTGGGAGTCATTCAATTAGAAGCAGTCTTAAATCAATGAAAGGAGACAAATCAGATAAAGAAGTGAAAGGGACAAGAGAAAGACTTAGTGATTAGGTAAGAGAGGAAAATAAGTAATGAGAGATACGTAATGATGTCATAATGATGTATTGTAGAAGCCGAAAGAGAACATAATTTTCAAGAGAAAATAGTTGAATAGATTGTAACAATAACAGTATTCATATTGAAATGTTAATGCTTCTCACATGGGATAAGAAAGGGACACTAATACTGAGGTTTCGGTGGTGTTTGCATGCTTAATAATTACTAGCTTCCATCTTTAGACAATTGAATTTGTTTATTTTGACATGCTTCCTCTTTATTCTCTTTGTTCAGTCTAAATTCATCAACTTAGGGTCACAAATAGAATCCTTATATACCTATGTTGTTTAAAAAGTAAACCTTAGCGCTTAAAAGTTAGTGCTAAATATAATTACATTGGTACAGCAGCTATAATTACATAGCTTCCAGCACACAACCAAATATATACTAACGAGATACTTTACTATACAATCTAACTCCTGTAGCCAGGTCACCACAGTTGAAATTCTAGTTATGTGTGATAGTAATATCTCAACCATATATATTTTGGAACATTATTGGAAAGAATAGTATGCAGACAAAATATTGAATCAGTGCTGAGCTGCTAACAAAATTCTCAATAAGTGTTAGGTTCTATTTAGTTCATCATTATGTATCAAGTTGGATATCTCATTCCAGGAAATTGCACAAACTGCTGGGCACATATGATATAAACAGGATGTAGGTGGGAAAATATTTCACTTAGTCAATCTTTCTGAAAACAGATAAAGTCAGAACACACTTTTCTAAATAAATATATCTTCAGTATAAGAACCAAGAATGAAACTTGACAAGGCTCAACTTGTTTTGTGGGTTTCTATAAAAAGCAGTTTCTGAAAATATTAAGATTAACAAACTATGTTTTACTCTGTTTGAAGAACTATTGGATTGTTGTGTCAGATCCATAAATCCATGTGTCTACTTATCATTGTCTGCGCATACATATCTAATGTGATATTCATCAAATGAATGATCACAGTATTAGGATTAATAAAAAGAAAAGAGCTTCATGGATTTTATTTGTGAATTATAATTTGACCTCTATCAATGAAGATTAAAATTTCAGCCTAAGTAAAATAATTTGCCCTCTATCAACTAACATTTTCTCTTACAAATCAGATTGTAATCATTCAGGCTTTGTGGGCATACAAATTCACTTACATTTTTCCAACTTCACCATTATAAGGTGAAAGTAGTCACAGATAGCACCAATTTGAGTAACTGTGTGTGTTCCACAAAATTATTGCTTATAGACACTAAAACTGGAACTTTAACTCATCGTCAAGTCCTGAAGTATAATTTCCATCATTTAAAAATATAGGAAATGGAAAGGCTTGGAAAAAATTATATTAAGTGAAGTAAGCCAGGCCCAAAGAAACATAGGTCCCATGGTTTCCCTTATTTGCAATATCTAGTATATGTCTGAGTCAAGCAGAAAAGGTCAGATGAAGTGTTGTTAGGGAAATGAACCCTAAGATATGTATTCAAATTTTTTTTTCTTTCATGCGATTGTTTCTAACACATTTATAAGGTATTTCTTTGTTGCTTTGTATGTCCCTCCCCCACAGTATAACCCCTGCTTTCACTGTATTTAATGTCGGTATAATTTGTGGAGGTGAAGGGCAAAAACAAATCATTTAAATAGGGATACAGGTGGACCCATTGCAACAATGAGATGTACAAGTCGTTATGTTGAAAAATGAACTTTACTACTTTGGTGCGGGGGGTAGGGGGTAGTGGGGAGGATTGGGTGGGGGGGCGTGGGGAGGATGGGAAGGGATGGGAAGGGGAAACAAAGGAGGAGGCTACAATGCTTGATAAGAAATCTATTCATTATCTTGCCCATGTAATTGTAACCCCTCTGTACATTATTTTCACAATAAAAAAATAAAAATTTAAAAATATAAAACCAGCTGAGCACCGGTGGCTCATGCCTGGAATCCTAGCTACTCAGGAGATTGGGATCTGAGAATCATGGTTCAAAGCCAGCCTGGGCAGGAAAGTCCGTGAGACTCTTATCTACAATAAACCACTAGAAAACTGGAAGTGGTGCTGTGGCTCAAGTGGCAGAGCACTTGCCTTGAGCTGAAGAGCTGAGGGACAGTGCCTAGAGTTCAATCTCCATGATCAACCAATATATATGTATAAATATATATATATGCATGTATATGTATGTATATATATATTCCCCCAATTCTTAGTTCATGAACCATACAAAAACTAGAATCTGGGTGTATTTGGTGTAGAGGTGTTAGTTTGCTGCTCTATGGACTAGAACATGTGCAAACTTGAGCAGACACAACCATGAAGGTCTACTGATATATTCTGAAATTATTTAGGCAGGTTTTAAGTCATGAATTAATGCAGAAGCTCTAAATGATAGAGTCAAATAACTTTTCTAGATGTTTCTTTTCCTTTGCTTAGAACATCTGATACACTATTTTTAGGTATGTGTTCTTCCCATATTTCTGTACCATGGTATATGCAAATTCTAATGTCAAGTGTTCCATGCGTTCCTGAACATATGCTAGTTAGAAACATAAGGCGTATTTCAATGTTCCTTCTTAATCTTAGAATTACAATGACTGCAAGGAAATGGAAATTGTACCATTTTATGATTTTCATGCTAGTTTTGACTTAATGAAATTTTATTGCCATCTTTTAATATCTTCACTGATTTATGTAATACCTACCATATCTGGAATGTCTAGTGGAGAAAATCCACAAAAAGATCAGTTAAAAATTCTAACACCTTCAAGATAAGACTTTATAAATATCAAAGAACAGGCAATCTGTTCTGTAATTACTCCTGATTTTGGATGTGCAGACTGGGGCATTATGTTCTTGTAAACTAGCAGACTGGATTCTTATCTATTAGAGGTGTACTTCTCCATGAACATGGAAGAAAGACATTTAATGAAAAACAAAGTACTGAATAAGTAGGTCTTTTGTGAGAAAAAGACACTTTCAGGATGAAAATGCAGCCACCCACAGCAGTTCATCACCTGTGGTTTCTTCTTCCAATTCAGCAGTCTTTTCATTAAGCATTCAGTTTTTGATGGGATAGTGTTTTCTTTGGGAAACTTTAAAACTTACTTCATTATTTTTCTTGTGAAATTTAGCTGACATTACAGGTATCTAAGGCTTCCAGAAATATTGTCTGAGTAAAAAGATCGCCATCAAAACATAGAGGTAAATGTGTTTTTCTGCTTAACAATGAACCTTCATTTATGCAGAAAGCCACCATTAAAATTGTCTCACCTTTTCCTAATTTCAGAATCCACAACAATCTGTCGCTTCTTTTGGGGAGGTGGTGGTGGAAGTTCCTCTTGGGCATGTTTTACCAGAATTTGTTCCCTTGTGGTCACCATAGTTACCGTTTCCATTACAGTTGTCTGTGTTAGTGATGGCTGAGTGGTGGTGACAGCCTGTGAAATCTGTGAGAAGTATTGAAACAGAGGTCAGACATTGTTTGAAAGACTTCAGTAAAGAGTGCTTGGAGTAGTGAAGGAAAATAATGAGAAACTGTTCCTGCTTGTTGGTAGATTGACCTTCAGATCAAAATAGCACCATACTGAACCCAAATCAAATTGTTTTATCTGACTTAAGTTATGCCGACTGAAATAGTAAAGCTAAGTAATCTCAGAAGCAAAACTACACTTAGTTCCTCTTCAGTTTATTAGTTAAAATGCAGTAATGGAAGGAGCAAAGGAGAACAATTTAAGAGTGTCATTCCGATATTCAGGCATACTAATTGAAGTGTTTACATTAATATAGATTTTTACCAAAATATATAAATACCAGTTCCATCATCTGGCACACGATAGATGGCTACTAACATAAAACAAAAGCAAAAGTTTGAAGCCAAGAAATAAAATATATGAAATAAAAAGTTGATAAAATACATGTTTTGAACAGTAGGCATGATGAGGCACACCTGTAATCCGAGCACTTATGAGCTAGAGGCAGGAGAAACACACATGTGTAGCCACGCTAGATTACACTGTAGAGCTTTTTCTAAAATAAGCAAAAAATAATAAAAGAAATGCATCTTTGATCATATGGAATGATTTTATATGCCAGGCACTTTAAAATAAAAGTTGAGCTTTGTAATAAAATATTTTGTAACCGAATGAGCAAAACAGAGTGCATATTGGCCCACAGGTATCTTGCTCTTTAATGTTATTCAAATGCTAAGAAGTACACTACTCTTGGTTTAAACTTGTGACTATGTTCAAATATTTTAGTTTCTAAATTCATTATTGGAGACTGATACTTTGTAATTACACTACTTTCTGTTTAAACATTCTAAGGTTGTGCGTAGTTCATCAGTCTTAGAAAATATAGGTTGCAACCCAATCATGATGTCTTCCACCTTCACACAGCAGACAAATTACCAGACAGAAAATTTGTATAAGATATACTTTCATTCCATCCTTAATCACCAATTTCACCAATTTGCTATCTCATAATTTTTTTTACTTTTTTTTATAGCTTTTTGGTACTTGGCCTCATGGCCTGGGTGCTGTCCCTGAACTGTTTTGTTCCAGGCTAGCACTCTACTACTTGAGCCACACCTCCACTTTTGCTCTTTTTTGTGGTTAATGGGTATGTTTTCACACAATGACTAGAAGCAACTTTTCAGATTTTGGAAATATTTTAAAGTATAGAATTCAGAGTTACTAAAAATATAAAGGGACTTTCTCTCTCTCTCTCTCTCTGTGTGTGTGTGTGTGTGTCTGTCTGTCTGTCTGTCTGTCTCCTGGGGTTTTTATACTCAGAGCCTGGATGCTGTCTTTTAGTTTTTCACTAAAGGCTGGCACTTTTCCACCTGATTCACGGCTTCACTTTCAGATTTTTGGCAGAGAATTGGAGAGAAGAGTTTCATGGACTTTCCTGCCAGGCTGGCTTTAAACTATCTGTGAGTCATTAGCACTCATAATGGTCATTTCTTTTACAGCTATAGCTCAGGAAATATTTGTGTTCCTGAATATTTAGATATGACAATTTCTGCAATTTTAAGAGTGTTTTCTTATTAACACCCATTATGAAATTGCTTAGATGTGCTTATGTGAGATCGAGGAAAATGACAACATAACATAAAATTGCATTTAATTATGCAAAACATTACAAAAAAGACAAGATTTATAATAAAACCATACTATGATTTTGCTATGTAAATGTGCTGTACTAGTAACACCACAATACTGCAATTAAAAAACACTACTTCTTTTCTTGTAAGATGAAATCATAAGAAAACCACCACCCCTTGACCCTGCAAATATAAGACAGAATTCATCTATGTTAAAATACTAGCAACTACTCCCAAAACCTATTCCATGTAAAACCATTGGTCATACACTAAATTTCCCCTGGCTTTTAATAATTGACTATAAATGCTTAATTATGTTAAAAATCACTAAAAACTATAGACAGATGAAGAATTATGGAGGCTATTTAACCTAGCTTGCTGCTTACTACAGGAATCATGACTCCCAGAAGCTGACATCTCTTTCTTTACTGGGAAGGTAAAACTCTCAGGCAAAGATCTTTTTGGTACCTAACAGAAATCTATCTTAATATCACTTCTTCCAGCTAAAATTTGCTTTGAACCTTGGACAAACACAGAGTAAAGCTAAGTATTATATTTACCTATCAGATTTTAAAGATTTGAAGCCTAATAATTGTGACCCTATTAAATCTTATTTTCAAGCACTGAGGCATAAGTTATTTGTTTAGAACTATCTTTCTTCTTCCAGTACTGGGGCTTAAACTCAGGGCCTTATATGCTTAGCATTTTCCCTCATGGCTAGAACACTACCACTTGAATCATGCCCCTACTACAAGTTAATTTGCCATAGTTTCATGGACTTTTCAGCCTAGGTTGTCTTTAAAACATGATCTTCCAGTTAGCTACCAGAGTAGCTAAGTTTACAGGTCTATGCCAGGGGCCTCTGGTTCTTTGTTAGCATCCTAAAGGTATGATTAATTTATCCCATTCAAAAGGTCAGCTATAACAGAGGAAAAGAACAGCCTAAAAAGAGTAAATGATAGTTTAAATACATTATTATATGAATATAATGTTTTTCTTTTCTTTCTTATTCTTTTGCCAGTTCTATGGCTTGAACTCAGGGCCTGGACACTATCCCTAAGCCTTTTTGTGCTCAAGGCTAGTATTTTACCAGTTGAGCCACAGCACTACTTCTGGCTTTTCTTAGTACTTTATTGGAGGTAAGAGTCTCAGGGAGGTTCTTTCCTGGGCTGGCTTCAAACCACAACCCTCAGATCTCAGCCTCCTGAGTAGCTAGGATTACAGGTTTAAGCCACTAGTGCCTAGTTATTTTTCTTTTTTTAAATGTTTTCTTCTGTATATTTGTTTTTAAAGGAGCTTCATTGGGATAATTGCATATATGCACTGTATGTATATAGCATATTCCATCAAATTCAACTTATCACTCTATTCTACTTCCCTCTTTCTTTCAAAACTTCAATAGGTTTCATTGTTCTAAGACAAGTGCCAATGGCTCACACCTATAATCTTAGCTACTCAGGAGGCTGAGATGTGATAATTGTCATTCTAAGACAGCAGGGGCAATAATGTCCTTCAAAGAAACTCTTACCTCCAATTAACTTGAGCTGTGGCTCAAGTGACAGGCTGCTAGCCTTAAGTAAAAATGCTAAGACATAACAAACATGCCCCAAGTTCATATCCCAGTACTGGAATAAAAACAATAGTTTCCCCTATTCTGTTTTCATACATGAATATAAAAAATTTTGGCCATATCCATCCTCCTTCACCCTCTCCGTTAGTCTGCCTCTATCCACTGATATCCGCTCCTGAAGGGAGCCTCTTTTAAATTTGTTGTGCAGTTTTCAGGGATTTATAATGCACATTAATTTTATGAAGAGGTTTCACAACAGTATATCACACATACATATACTATAATTTAGCCAGATTAAGTTCCTCTGTTCTCCTCACCATCACTATCATCATATTGTTCAACAGTTTTCAGTGAGTTTCCTTATGCCTTTTTCATGTCATAGTATATTTCGATATTGTTATACTCAATCATATGTTTCTATATTTCCTTCTTCCTCTTCTCTTCATGACAGCTTCACATTTACAATTATGTTGTGTGTGTGTGTGTGTGTGTGTGTGTGTGTGTGTGTGTGTGTGTGCATGAATACCTTTCCACAAATGAGCAAAAACAGGTAACATTTGACTTTCTGTGTTCCATTCACTTTTCTGCAAATGACATATTTTTTTCGTTTCCCTTTTTCTATTTTTGGTGTGCCTATATTGGGGCTTGAACTCAGAGCTTCGTGTTCTTGCTCACCTTGTGCTACCAGTTGAACTACAGCTCCAGTCAAGCATTTTTGTGGTTAAGTGAAAATTGAGTCTGTTTGATTTTACTGCCCAAGTTGGCTTCAAATCTTGATCATTCCCAGGTATTAGTCTCCTGAGAGGCTAGGATTACATATATAAGTTACTGGTACCCAGCTATTAAGTTGTAATGGATATGGATGAATTGTACTTCTACAGGTTAAAGCACATTGCATAACCATAGCAAAAGTTTTAACTTATAGTTGGTAGCTTTGTGTATAACTATTCCTACAGAAAGGATAGTACCAAATACAAAAAACCTACTGGTGTTAAAAATCGTATTTTGAAGCAATAAAAGAGATTTATACAGTGAACTCTGAAAATCCTAGGATAAAAGACGAGGCACCCGTGAAGGATGCTAAATTGTTAATCACAAGGATATAAAATACTTCTTGTCTTGAAAGACTAAAGAGCAACTGCCATAGCTATGAGTAACCCATAAGTATTAGAGTTCATGACAGTAGCTTGGCAACTAAATTTTAATATTAATTACTGTCCTCTTTTGATACTGATAGTAAAGGAAGAAAATTTATTGAACAAGTGCTGACATTAGCATCAGAAGTCCTATTGAAGTCAAATACTCAGATGACAACAAAAAAGAAATTACTCTCTTTGAAATAAATTATATGATAATTAAGAAGGTTCACTCTGAAATGATCTCTTCAATTATATGTATTTCGTTCCTCACTTCAAATTGTCTTTAATACAAAATGTTAGAAAGAAGAGATACATGTTAGCTTCAGAATTCATCATACTAAATACAGAATTTAGGCAGCTGTGTCAATTTATTGCACCTGCAGAAATTCAAAAGCAATGACATTCAATTTTTTTGATCTATCCAATTTTTCCCTACACACCATCTGACAGAATTGATGAAACACACTGTATGACTAGGGATAAATACTATGAAGTATATGAACTTGAATTTTATATATATGTGTCTATTTTATCTTTGTAGTATTTTAGATACATGTTCATAATTAATAAAAATGAATATTTCTGGTCATCCACTTATATAGGAAAATTATAATAATTTTTATCACCTTTCATCTTTCAGCTGACTCTGAGGTTTAAGAGAATGGTCAAATAGAGGAGAAAGTTCACATCTCTTCACTATTTCAATGTTTTATATAAAAAAATAAAGAGAAACATATCACAGTCATTTAGGACTAGAATACTGCACAGATCTGTCTAGGCTAAACTTTTTTTATTTTATAAATGAAAGAAAGATTACAAGAGTTAACTCATGTTTAATCTAGCAAATTTTAGTTCCTATTATATTTCATATTATTTTAATGCACTTTACAACTTAAATCACGCTGATATACAAAGCCTATTCCAAACATCTAATTTAGCTGGAGATAGTGAAAGGATCATTTCCACAGTAATTTGAGCTTTAACTTCAAAATCTTCTAATAAAACCTTGAACCTGAGATATTAAACAAAAGATGTTCTAAAATTCAAGGTACTTCATCCATAAATTTAAATAAGATGGCATCCTAAAATAATTATGGAATTTAATTTATAATTCTACTTTTTACTTAAAATTATTTTTTTTTGCTTGGCAGGAGGCTTATTAGGATTGGATATCTTTCAGAAACCAATGAAAAAGGTTGTCAACTGAAAGACTTTAGAGTATTTTTAATTAAAATTACTGGCAGAAATGAAAACAGGTAAACCAATTATAGCTATATCCATATATCAATAGGTCTGCAAACTAATATTTTGAGAATGGGCACAGCCAAATGTAGATACAAAATACTTTATGAAGATTAAAATTAGGATTTTTATAGAATGAGAATGGACTCAGATAAAACAGGCAAATAAATGTTCATCTAAGTACATTTGAATCTTTATCTTTGTAATTTGAATACAACTGAAACTGCTGTCTTATGCTGTCAAAGCAGGATTTACATTGTTCATGTTACTATCAAGTGTTTTAAATCTTTCAGTAAGATATAAGTTATATATCATATAAGTCCTATAAAATTATTAATTATACATTATATGTGTACACATATACATACACAGATATACGCGACATGATTATCACTGTCTACTCTCATGTTCAAAGTTGGGGGAATCCTGCATTGGTTAGTGTTATCTTTAAGATATTTGTGCAAAATAGTTGAAAGTATTGGAAGACAATGGTCATCAGCAGAGCAAAACTATGCACAAACCAGGGATCTTTAAACTTAAAAGAGTAATAGAAATTTTCTTGTTCCCAAAAAGGAAGATTTGCTCAAAAGAGCAGAACAAGAGATTTAGATTCATCTATCTAGATATATTCTTACATCTAACCACTTTGTGCCTTTTAATATCAATTCTCATAAACAATTGTAAAGTACAGACATCCTTTCCAAATTGTATATGATTTCAGACAAATTGGGGAAATAATGTTTCAAAACACTTAAATTACATTCAATTTTCCCATGTTAATAACTAGTTAATTAACTTCTATCAATTTCAAAATCAAGATTAAAATATATTCATCAGCATTATGTACTTTAGAAAAATAAATGGAGCCACTCCCAACAAGTGCATTGATTGGAAAAAAGACCTAGAATCATTTGAGCTTTTATAGAAGTCCATCCAGAGCATCCACTTAACAAGAGTTACTATCATTCCAACAGCTGGAAACACAAGGCATTTCTACTTTCTCAGACTGCCCCTTTTTATCAAGTTTAAAATCCTCATCTTGTATCCAGGTATTATTCAAGCCCAAACAGACTTTAGAATGCAAGAGAGCAGCCTTCACAGCTGATCTTTTTTGTGTGCTTTGATCTTTTGCCATGCAACTGCTACATAAGGTCAAAATCCCTCAAAGCTTTGACCTGAATACCAGTCAAAGTCTTAGGCACACAATGTTCGTTGTATGAGTACAATCAGATTCCTTGTCATCTAAGTAACAATTCCTATGTCTTGCCTTACAATGAATTTTAACTATTACCAAAAGTTTGTTCATTCTTTACACCAGATATTTAAAAAGGTTTTTTATGCAACTAATTATAAAGTACAAGTGGTCTTAATAAGACTGATTTGGTTCCCCACAAACATGATAAGAAAATCCACATTCAAGTTTTATTCCTTCAAATCACAACCTTAGAACTCGTATGTAATGGTGATCAAGCTAAATTTGACATGTACAAAATAAAATCAATTCCTTTTTAACTACAAGATACTAATTTTGTACATTTATTTTTTTAATCCATGTTCTCTAGGCAATTCCATTTTATATCTTCCTAACCACTCAATAACCAATATCAAAGATGTGAACTGGTTCTATGGCAACATATTTGTTCAATGAGTTAAAACTAAGACACAAGTTTATAAAAGGCTCAGGCTTAGTGTTCTGGGAAACAACATGCTGATGGTAAGTCCATTTATCTGTTCCTGGTCTGATATGTAGTATATAACTGTTTGAAAATACAAATAAAAGGAAATCATGGTGAATGACAAGAATTCCTGCAGACTCACTAAACAGCATGACTTACATATCAAGAGCACCTTGCTTCCTTTGAAATGCTTTTATGTGCAGGGCTTTATTTTATCATCATTCCATTCCAGTGAATAAGTAGAACAAATACATGCTGTAATATATGTTGGACATCATTTTGTAAAGAACTACACACACCAAAGCTAACTAGTGTGTTATTACATAATAAGAGGTTAAGCATCCTGCTGAGGTGGTAGTCACAAAATTTCTCAGCCATTAAAAACAAGGCTTCTAATATGTTTATACCAATGAGAAGAATCAAATCAGTAACCCTTTCATGAAATACAAAGCTTCACTGAAGCAGTATCATTCCAAGGAAATTATTCTACTTAAATATAGGATGCCTAAGAAAGTCTCTATATTTCAGCCAGCATTGAAATTGGCACTATGTCATTATCTTTCCAACTCAATGTTTTTAAAAATATATGTAAAGACTCTGAAGGATAGGGACATAGATCTCTACATAAGTTTCCTAGAGCCTACTGAGTTTTTCTGAGTAGCATGTAGTATTTTATATTATAATTGCTCACAGATGTGATTGTCATGTATACAAGTTTGGGAAGTTCTGCATATAATTCAACTGAACCAGAATATGAACTATGGTTAACAGTTATACTTCCATAAATATATTCCTTTAAAAGTATGTATTTCACAACAACTTTTATCAGTCAGGCTTCCTAGCACATACTTATAATCTCAGATTCCCAAGAGACAGAGAGAGGAGTAACATGGTTGGCGTAAAATTTAGTAAAATTTAGCAAGGGGTCCTATCTGAAAAATAAACTAAAAGCAGAAGTGTAGAGGCATGGCTCAAGTAAGGGACCACCTGCCTATCAATGAGAGGACTTGAGTTCAACCATCAGTATTGTAGAGATTGAAAAAATTATCAATAATACCAATCCTTATTGACATGATTTCTCATCATTTTATTGCAATAACCATCCATAGAACTAATATGTTCCTGCAAATTATTGTTGATTTAGAAACTTTCTAACTAATGCTTAATATTATTTACATAGATATTAAGAATGCCACAAAGTAGCCATGGACAGATCACATAGAAAGGAAACATCGTAATTAATAGGAATATTACAATTAGATTATTTAAGTGCTGACTATATTTTGATGTAAATCAAATGAAATTTTTGTTATCTAAGGATTATATGAAAAACAATTGCAAGTATGCACACAATCCTTCAAATGTTACAGGAGTTTGGGCTTAAAAGGAAGACTAAAGTGTGACTGAAAATCATATATTTTGGATGATTATATTTTTTAAATGGTATCTCTGGAAGCAATGTGTCAGACTTTCTTCCCTCATCTTTCAACAAACATTCCTCAGCCCTACTTATCAAACATTAAGTTCTCAAAAACAAAAACAAAACAAATTCCTTATACCTGTTTAACAACAGGGAAAATATTTTTCTAAAGTCAATTGAATGTGATGATTGCATTAATAATGATTTGTTTATGGTACACTGGGCTATGGTTTATTATCAATTAGTAAAAACTCTTTTAATAAAAAAACCTACAGCAGAATAAGTTAGATACTGTCATACATAGCATCAAAAGTTTGAATGACTACCAAGCACCTACCCTCCAACAATATCAGATAATTATCTGACTACCTCACACAACAATAGAAAATACTATGCTTTCTTTAAATTACTAACCCATAAAAATATCCCACCATGGAACTGATTATTTTATAAATATAACTCAGATATTCTCTTAATCTATAGTATATATGTGTTATAAAACTAAACAAATTAAATATTTTATTAAACCAGCACTGTAAGACAGATAATTTCAGTGATTAGATTATCATTTGCAGTTACAGAAACATATTGAGAAAGTAAAGACAGTCGCCTTTGCTTGAATAATTCACTTTTTCTTCCCCAAATTTCATTGTTTTATCAAATATAATTGAGCTTGATGAATGGCCCTGATGGTTTTAGGAAACAATTTTTTACTTAGATAGTGATGATGCAGTCCCTTAGCCTTTTGTCCAACTGCCCCAATATTCAGCTTCTCACTGACATGGAAATGGAAAGTATTATGTTACAGAATAGCAATTATTTCTGTCAATCAGCATTCATTCTTCTGCTTCTCAATTCTCCTATACCTATATAGTATGACTACTGGCTTCATTTACCTGTGATGAACTCTTTTCAAGTTTTTGGGTTAAATTATCCCAACGTTGGGCAAAGTTTTCCATCCACACTTCCATCCTTTGTGTTACTGACTTATTTTTCAGTGTTGAAAGGAGATCTTGACTGAGTAAACTGAGCTTTTCCATGGTTTGTTTTTTCTTTTCTAGATCTGTTTTTAATACCTGTGAAAACAAAGAAACATTACAGAGTAAATCTGGGTCCAAAGTTAAGTTTTATCAATATGGCATTGTGTTTGCAATTATATAGCTGAAGAAAAGATTTTGATCATCTCTGAAAAGGATCAGAGTTCTATAAACACTAGAGAATTATAACATAATCTTCATAAGAAGCTGAAGAGTAAAAGTAAAATATAAAGATCTAGCAGAGGCACTCAAGAGATACCTTCAAATATTCCAAAGACTGCAGAAAGGTAGGACCACTCCAAAAGGCAAAAACAACTGACATGTGGAAATCACTTTTTAACATTTGAAGGTGGGATGTGTGGTTCTTGGAAATTAGTGAATTTTCTCTTAATTACTGATAAGAGTCAAAGAAAAATAGATTATCATGTTCGGAAAACAGCTTATTATGCTAGAAGTACTACTGAGTTGCAAAGATAAGAATGACTATTTGAAATGCTGTGTTTATTTAGATAAAATTATAGTATGTATCTACATAATTTTAACACTTCATTCATTATTTGATTTTTTTTTGGATCCAGTCATGGGACCTGAACTCTGGGCCTGGGCACTGTCCCTCAGCTCTTCAGCTCAAGGCTAGCGCTCTATCACTTGAGCCACAGCACCACTTCCGGCTTTTTTCTTATGTGGTGCTGAGGAATCAAACCCAGGGCCTTGAGCATGCAAGGCAAGCGCTCTACCACTGAGCCACCTTCCCAGCCCTTCATTCATTATTTGAAAGTAAAATACTTGTTAAATGGTTTATTGACATAACAAGTTTGCTAGCATCCATTCAGTAATCAATCATGTTTAGGATTCAGAATATGCATTTTCTGAAGTTATTTTTAATATTTTTATTGTAAAGATACTGTACAGAGGGGTTACAGTTACATGAGTAAGCTAATAAGTACATTTCCAATCTAGCATTGTTACTTCCTCCTTGTTTTTCTTATACTATCCCTTCCCTCCCCACCTCCCCAACACCTCCCTCCCCCATCCAAATTTGTAAAGTTCATTTTCAACATAGTGTCTTGTACATCTCATTGTTACAATGAGTCAACCTGTATCCTTGTTCCAGCATATTGTAATTTCCCTTCCCTTCCCCAAATTAGAAAAATGTATATACAAGATGCAAGGCACCGGGATCAAATACAGTGACAACAGGGGTTATACCATGGGGGAAGAACATACAAAAGGGAATAATTTGGGGAGGGAAAGAGATAAAACAAAATGTTTAAGTAGGGATACAGGTTGACCCGTTGCAACAATGAGATGTAGAAGACACTATGTTAAAAAACGAACTTTACAATTTAGACTGAGAAGGTGGGAGGGAAGGGATGGTAGGGGAAAAACAAAGGAGGAGGCAACAATGCTTGATAAGAAATGTACTCATTACCTTGCTCATGTAACTTTAACCCCTCTGTACAGTATTTTTACAATAAAAAATTTATTATAAAAAAGTCACATAGTACACTATAAACAAGAAGGACAAAAAAAAAACCTCTTGTGTACCTATACTGGAGTTATCTTTAAAGCTCATTAAGTAAAAAAAAAGCCATTTAATATGATCCAAACTTTTCAGAATCTCTGGCTATTTTCTATTTTCTATATACTTGTGTTTATGGAGGGTTTTGTTGTTGTTGTTTGCTTGAAGTTGGGGCTTCACATTCTTGCTTGGTAGCTTGCTCTATGCTGGTGCTCTACCAATGAGCCATGCCTCTAGTCCTGATTTTTCCCCTCAAGGCTGGCACTCTACCACTTCAGCCACAACTCCACTTCCATCTTTTTGGTGGTTAGTTGGAAATAAGATCCTCATGGACTTTCCTGTCTAGGCTTTGAACGGTGATTCTCAGATCTTAGCTTCCTCACTAGTGAAGATTACAGGTGTGAACCTGGGCAGCTGAGTTAATTTTTGTACTATTTGTATCATGGTGAATCACAGTTTCACTTTATCCACTAAGATCACTCTGCACATAGGGAAATCCAACTTATAGGTACCAAATGTCTGTCTATGACATAACATAGAAACAGAATGAAAAGAAAGAATAGATAAAATTTTATAGTCCCTTTACAGCTCCATTCTTCTGGCACTCGCAAATACAATGAATATAAAATGAACTCTGATACCTGTACTTCTAAACCAAATCTAAGTTTATTTAAGTCCAACTAAAATTATATATAACAAAGAAATCATGAAACCAAAGTGTTCTGCACATAGAACAGTCGATACAATCCCTACAAAGGGCAATTTATGTAGCTCATTTTGGCATCCCACTTGCTTTGATAGCTATGAACTATAGAATGCTCTGGTGTCTCCTTCAATTAGTTAAAGCTTTATTCAGAACTGACTTTATCCAACATAGGTTATATTGAAGTCTTCATGCCATTTTAAAGGAGAAACTGCATATTTTAAAGCTCATTTTTCGTTTCCTCCACAATAATTACCACTTTCCCAATATGAAACATTGTGATAGATAAAAATATGAATTAAGACACTATACATTGAAGTAAAATAAAACTCTCAGCAATAGATTAGTTTTGTATATTCATTTTGTTTGCCTAATTCATATGTTATTTTTTCACTAAATTCAAGTACATAGTTGGCAGTAGTAATAAAACAATTTTATGGTACCTGCCTAGACCTGAGATCCTAATTTGAGTTTCAACATATATATTTCAACTACTTTGTAGAGCTTCATTTTCCTTTTTTATTCCTTATTAACTCTGGCATACATTAAATTTATTTTAAGTCAGCACAAGTTGCTTTTGAAAAGAGATATAAAGACACACAATGGGTAGAAGTTAATCACAATCATATTTTCAGGGCTTAAAGAACTACTTCAATAAGCCATATGTATAGGGCTGAAGGAACACACATTATTTAAGCTAACCATTTAAGGATTTGGAAACATGTCAGAGAAACAGAAAACTGAATGTAAGGAAGAGGATTGTTTTAGAAAGATACACAAGTCTTGGCCTACCAAAACAAATGAAACTATGCTTCTAAGCCTCTGCTACTATTAAATCAAATGGAAAACCATTTGGTAGCTATTATACAACTCGTGGAACTCACATTTAAAATATAATATGTAATGCAAACTCAAAATAAAAACTGCATTATGATGAAGTTGAGTTGAATAATCATTAAATCAATAAAATTGTATGTAAATATATATGACAAAATGCCAAAGAAGCCAAAACATTCATCTAGTTAACTCTAGAAGTTATTTTAAATGGTGATAGAAGATTGTTTGGACCTCATTTTTTTCTTTCTGTTTCTTTCTTCCTTTCTCTCTCTCTCCTTGGATTCTCCTTCTCAAAGTTCTTGAAGGATTCTCTTGTGATAATTAGCAGAGAGACATGAAAAGCAATCCATAGACATGCCAATTATTTTGTCATAGTAATTGTGTCATAGTAACAAATTATTGTCGGTTATCTGTACTCTATTAAACGTGAATTCTATGTATAAATATTAAACAATTATTATTTAATTGCACAGTACAAGAAAATGTCATTCTGCATATCAAGAATTGATCATAAGTCTTTGAGTACTAGGAACCCATAGAGCTCTAAAACGTATAGGAAGAAAAACTGTTGAGCAACATTTTTCCACAGCAAAGGCCAAAAAGACAAATATTTTAATTTGTATAAAATTACAATAAATGCGAGACCTTCCTCTAAAGGGGCAGGAAGCCATAGTCAATAATGTAGGGATTATATGTGTTGTCTCATGCATGTAATCTCAGCTACTTGGGTGGTAGATATTGGGATGATAGCAATTCAAGACTTGCCTAGACAAAAATTGAGACTCAAAAAAAAGTCGGGTATGGGGAACTTAATCATAATCCCATCTATCTAGGAAGTATAGTGTGAGTATAGTGGGTCAGGCTGGATCAGGAAAAATCCATTAGGACCAATCTAAAAAACTACAGCAAAAAGCTTGGCAAATGGTTGAAGTAGTAGAGTACTTAGTAACAAGCATGAAGCCCTAAGTTCAAAGTCTAGTATCACAGAAAGAACAAAGAAAATAAGGAAGGAAGGAAGGATGGAAGGAAGGAAGGAAGGAAAGAAGGAAAGAAGAAGGGGAGGGAAGTAGAGGGGAGGGGAGGAGGGGAGAGGGAGGAGGGGAGGAAAGGGAAGTGAAGGGAGGAGAGGGGAGGGAAGGGAAGGGAAGGGAGGGAGGGAGGGAGGGAAAAGAATAAAAAATGAAGGCAACAAACTTAAAGAAGAAAAGAGATTCATGATTAATATTGAAGACAAGAGTAGGGAAGTTCTATATGATCAAAGTCAGAAGATGAATTGAACGTGGAAAAGAAGATGAACTCATAAAAGGCCCAGGAAACTTCTACCCTATTCTCATCAGGTATAAGCCTCATAGAAGAATGCCAAGAAAATTCCTCTGCAGTTTCTTATATAAATGTAAGACATAGTCCATTCTCTTCCATTAATATATATGTTGTTATACTGTGTATATTGATGCTTGCCAGGAGTTCTCAACTTGAGAAAACATTAAAATCACTTGTATAGTTAACTAAAATGGAAGATTGGGTTGACATAAGGTGGCTCACATCAGTAATTCTAAAATAGTCAAGAGGCTTAGATCTATCTGGAGGATTGTAGTTCAAAGCCAAATCCATGCAGAAAAGTCCTTGAAATTCTATCTCCAAAATAACCAAGAAAATGTATGGAAATATGGTAAAGCATAAGTGGTAGAGTACCAGTTTAGCAAGCAAGAGGCCCTGAATTCAATCTTTAGTAACTTTAAGATTGTATAGCTCCACCTGCAGAGGGTGTATTTCAGTAAGCTTCTAGGGAGCCTAAGAATATTACTTGTTGCAAATTCCAGATAATGCTGGTGCTGATCTGGGTACCACACTTTAAGAAATATTGAGGGCTATTTTAAGAGCTGAAGTGAAGAGAGTAAATCAGTGTAAAGCCCTACTATCAACAGGGACTTTTTGAGTTCTGATAAGTACTGCTTTCCTGTTATTTGACCAACGGCC